AGATCTGGAGCTGGAGCAGACCAGTTTACATACAAATCAATGTGGCCATTATACAAGGACCTCATATTCTTGGAGGATATTATCAAACCTAGAAAGTAAGTGTTGTGGTCTGGGAAGTTTTGCATAACAAGTATCATTGACATAATTAATGATTATAATATACTTGCAGAACCTCATCCAACTACAAGTTGTTGTAAATAGTGAAGCGTCAGTATGTCGTACAACTACCTCATTACCGTTTACATCTGCTCCTTCTGATGGTCATATGACAGTGCACACGATTTATCCTTTCTCTTCTCAGTCTGCTGCAGCAAGCTCAGACATGTCCAGTTGGAATTCAGATTCATTAACAAATCTTATAGGTAAGGAGATTAAAAGACTTATTGCATGTCCACAGTTTGTTGTAACATAATCTGAAGTATTCGTCTGTTGCATTTTTAGGTACTGACAAGAGTTTCACAGATACATCTGAAAACTCCTTTTTGCCACTTCCTACATCATCTCCTTCAACATCACCTTCAGTTAGATCAGACTTTGGAAGTAATAATACAGTTGTACAGGCGCAGAAAGCTATATCCAGCATTAATACTAAGCGCAAAGTGCTCACACCTGATTCATTTGCGAACAAAAAACGGGAAGAAGTAGATACTATCAATAAGACTTTAATCGAACAGAGTAAAGAATTGACAGACCTTGCAGCAAAGATTGGTAAAGCAATAACGGTTCCACCACCAAATGTTCCGCCAGTAATAGTCAGTGATGCATTTTCTGATATTAAGCCCATGCTGAGTGCCATAGGATTTGCACTAGGAGTAGTACCTAAGAATGTTCAACTTGAATGTCTCATAGGTATATTACAATATATAAATGATTTCAGTAAGAACAAAAGTGTATCGAATTAAGCATTAAGCAAATAAGTGATTGAGATAACCTGTGATTTTTACTAATAAGTTTTAAATATATATATACTGTGATTGTATTACGAATAATTATAATTAATATGATAATTTTATTCAAAAATGGAAAGAAATATTTTTTGTTTATATATATATGTATAAGATATTTTTTATTATTACTATAAGGAATAACGTGAAAATAGTTGTTTGTTGAACTTTGAACAAACTATGTATTAAAATAAAATACTATAAACATATTACTTATTTTAAAATAAGAAAATACATTACGTTAAATGTAAATGTTTCGTCTGACATTAACTTATTTTTCTTAGAAGCACATATTTTTTGTTATATCTTACACTATATATCAAAGCAAAACTGTTGTTCTTTTGTGATTTAGAGGAAAATAAAAAGATAAATATTTTTATAATCGTTTATTTTATTAA